TGCATTAGTTAGATCTAAGCTTGAATATGCGTCCGTAGTCTGGAATTTGATTATGTCAACGGACACAAACAGCTAGAACACACCCAGCAGAGGTTTGCGGCCCTTCGTTTTAATTGTATCTATCCTCAAGTTCATTACAGTTATTCTCTTGCTCTGGAGTTAAAATTGCATACTTTACGTACTAGGGGACATCGTCTTGATGCTCTCTTTCTTATTCAAGTTTATTTTGGCTCGAAATTCTGCCCTTCTGTTCTGGAAATTGTTGGTCTCCAAGTTCCTGCTCGGTATATCAGAGACTTTGCATTGTTCAATGTTTGCTCCTCATCTAAATATTGTCCCTCTGCTAGATGTGCAGCAGCTGCTAATGTTGTCTGCAGGGATGTTTATGTATTCGGAGCCAGGAATGTTCTTTCCAAACGATTTTTAAATATAGTATAATTGTTAGTATTATTATTATTTGCATGTGCAATAAAACAAACTGAATTATTATTATTATCCTATGAAAATCTATACTTTTCATTTCTTAATTAAATATTTATGTTTCATTTCTCACTTCTTAATAACACTTAGATTTATGTTAATGAAATTATTATCATTTGTTTGTTTGTTTACTTTTCTACATTATTGTGTTTTCCTCAGTGCTTGCCTGTAATTTGTCTTTGACTTTATAATGTGTTTGTCTATAATGTAATTACTTTTATCTACACCGTGCTCTGCCTGTAATTGGCCTTGCGGCTGTTGACTCAGCACATGAATAATAAAGACCTGAATTGAATTACTACTATTATTATCATTCTTTTTATTAATTTCATTATTATTATTATCATCGGTTACTTAACCAACAGACAATCACGTTTCTGGCACTCTCTCCCTGCCTTTTCATGTAACGTCCGGGGTGCTGCAAGGCTCTGTTCTGGGGCCTTTTCTTTTCAATGTATTTATAAATGACCTATGCAACTCCGTTAACTACTGTAAATTTCTAATTTTTGCCGATGATCTAAAAATTCTCTGCATTATTAACTCTCCTCATGATTGCCTCTTACTTCAATCTGACATTAATTCCGTAAGTGACTGGTGCACTGCTAACTCCATGAAACTTAATATTGCTAAAACGCGTGTTGTATCATACACCAGAAAAACAAATTTTCTGAGCTACGAGTATCAGCTTTGTCATGATATCATTACAAAGCACCAGCAGTATTAAGGACCTGGGTGTTTTCTTTGATTCAAAGTTACATTTTCACACACATGTTAATTACATATTTTCTGAATGCATAAAGCTTTTAGGCCTTATTCGCTCCATTACCTACAGGTTTTCCTCCATGGAGAGTCTGTATGTACTATATTTTACTTTAGTCAGGTCCAAGTTGGAATATGCCTCAGTAGTTTGGAACTCCATCACCTCGACTGATGCCAACAAGCTTGAGCGCATCCAGCAGAAGTTTGCGTCCGTCTGTTTTTATCGTTTTTTCCCTCATATTTCATATAATTATTCTTATGATTTAGAGAAATTAAGTCTGCAATCTTTACATAAACAGAGACATCACCTTGATGCACTTTTTCTTGTTCAGGTCTTTGGTGGTCTTAAATCCTGTGCTTCTCTTTTGGAAAATGTTAGCCTTCGCGTTCCTCCCAGCAATCTTAGGGATTTTGATTTGTTTCATTCTGGTCCGTCACAATAACAATTACAAATTATAAATCACTCTGTCCAATGTGACCTGTAAGTTTTTTACTACATAAAAACTTAACACCCTTACATGTTTCGGTCTCTGTGGACCATCTTCAGAGGGCGTGTAAACAAATTATGCGATAGTGGTTTCCTATTTGTAGTGATGTTAGGGACTTCTCATTGTTTGGTGTTTGTCCCTCTAATAAACACTGTCCTTCTGCTCGGTGTGCCTATGCTGCCAACGCGGTGGGTAAAGATCTCGACATATTTGCAATCGGAACAGTTTCTGTCAATGACACTGAACATAAAATTGTTAATAATATTTGTTAATGATACTCGTAATATTACTTCTGTGTATGTGGTTTTATTTTGTTGTTCTCTCCTGTTAACGTTAACTTTATTTTTCTTGGCATTATTATTAATCTATTGTCATTAAGTAGACTCTCAAATTTTGTATTTGTTTTTTTAATTATTTTTATGTAATTCTATGTACTCATTCTAACCTTCTAATTGGCCTCTGTGCTGTTAAGTTGTACGTAATTAAACATGAATTGAATTGATTTAAATTAGGATGTTGAGCTGCCACACGAATAAATAAGAATTAATTGGGTTATTATTATTATTATTATTAACTTCTATGTGTGTATGTATGTGTATTGTCCTTTCTCATCACATAATGGAATAACCATTCGAAATGTACTTATTTTATTTTTCTCGCCTGTTAAGGCTAAATTATTATTTTTTTGTTTTCTTTTCTTTTCTTGGAATTGTTACTAATTTACTGATATTGTATAGACTGTCATATTTTTTATTTTGCTCTTTAATTTTTGTGTATTTCTATGTACTCGTGCTAACTTTGTAATTGGCCACTGTGCTGTTAAGTTTGCACATAAATAAACACGAATTGAATTATTATTATTGTATGTGTATGCTGCTCTATTTGAAACTCAAATTCTCACATTGTGGCTTTGTCTGTGTATGTCTGCTTCTGTATCTTATTCATGCTGTGTAATTAATATAGACTATCATTTTTGTATCTTGCTTTTTTAATTATTTTTGTGTATTTCTCTATTCGTGCTAGCTTTGCAATTGGCCTCTGTGCTGTTAGTTAGTTAGTTAGTTAGATAGTTATGGGAGAGGGTGGGTTACCCCATGCACCATGACCAGTTTGATCTATTGTGCTTCCCTCTATGATATTCTACCAGTCTTTATACCCTACCGATATTGGTGTGTACCATCAGTCCCGACCGAGGCAGTGAGTTCTCTACTGGCTTGGCGGTATCTATAATGCTTCCCCCATTTATCAGAGGCATTAGAGACTACTGTTGGGCGGGAAACATCCTTGAATTTGGCTCAGTGACCTCCTTTGGAGATATGAGGTTCTTTTACGTGTGGGCGAGAAACGTCCTTGAATTTGGCTCAGTGACCTCCTTTGGAGATATGAGGTTCTTTTACGTGCCGTAAAGCTACGACATGGGACACACGGCTTAAAGTCCCTCCCGGAGGACTTGTTCCCTGAATTTTTGCGCCCTTAAAAATTCGATGACCTCCGCCGGGTTTGAATCCGCGTACCACGAGTCATGAGGTGGGAACGTTACCTCTAGACTACAGAGGCCGCTTCTGTGCTGTTAAGTTTGCATGTAAATAAACACAAATTATTATACCGATATATTGGGTTTTGGACTTTATCCATCGTCCTGGTTTTTAAGATAACTAATGAAAACACGAAGGCCGCTTATGAGCTGTTAAGTTTGCATGTAAATAAACACAAATTATTATACTGATATATTGGGTTTTGGACTTTATCCATCGTCCTGGTTTTTAAGATAACTAATGAAAACACGACGTTTCGGAAACTGGATCTGCTTCCGTCCTCAAGTGAAGGAAAAACCTATTCTGTTGGGTCTGTTAGAAAGAGCTAGCCTCAATCACTGGACAAACCAATGTCACAAAACATGAAGATTATAAACACCTGAGACCAGGCTAAGTCCATGAGAGCTAATAAGAAAAATATTCATAACAAATTGTTGCAACCGCATACAAGCGTGGAACTATGATAGTTAGATCTGTAGAAATTTATGACACGAAACCAAACTCATAACCAAGTCCATGACCCCACGGCATGGAATAGAAAGAAGAACTAGTAACAAAAACTAATAGTGTCTAACTAGCATCAACAATGGAGTAAATCACGTCTATCTAATTTAGAACTTAATAGAAATGGATAAAAGCATATATCACGTCATACAGATCTTCTCTGTGAATTGGTGACTTCATTGCTGATAATGGGGATCCAAATGGGAGAAAAGTCCAAACTGGGTTTGCTAATTGGGTTGGCCGAGCATGCCATATGGGCCACTTCCTTGTATTTCCTATATCTGATGTGGCATATATCACGTCATACAGATCTTCTGTGAATTGGTGACTTCATTGCTGATGAGGGGATCCAAATGGGAGAAAAGTCCAAACTGGGTTGGCTAATAGTCCAAAAGTCCAAAAACCCAATATATCAGTGTGTTATACACCATCGTCAGAATCCTACAGTAACTATAAAATATTATTATTATTATTATTGGCACTACAACCCTTTGTGGGTCTTGGCCTACTTTAAAAACTTTTTCCAGCCGTGCTCTGCTTATGCCTTTGTTTTCAGTTAACTCCAACTAAGTTCCTCAAATCCTTCTCCACACCATCCATCCATCTCATTCTTGATCTACCTTTCTTCCTTTTCCCTTCTGGTTTTAGAAGCATTAGTTTTTATAATTTCTTCACTTTCTCTCCTTATATCAGCATCATTAAACAAACTATATAATTCCTTAATACAACGTCTTCGCCAAACCCTATCAATTTGTATTGCTCCATACACTCTCCTTAAAATCTTATTCTCAAATACTCCAAGATGTGCTTCATGGTCCTTGCTCACCAGAGTTCAGCTCTCAGATCCATACAGCACTGCTGGAAGTATAGTAGTTTTATACAGTTGGCATTTAGTTTTTCTCTTTAGTGAGTGAGAGTTCATTAGTTTCAACCTGCTGTAATAACATCTATTTCCTATTATAATTCTGCATTTAATATCTTCTTCCAGATCATTCTTACAATTTATTAGAGACCCCAGATATACAGATTCTGTCAGAACTACAAAATTATATAAATCAATAACAAATCTTTGGTTATGCATCAAGTTTGAATAGACAGTCATTTAGTGCCATAAACTTAGTTTTTTTCTCATTTACTGTTAGTCCAATTTCCTTAGCAGCTTTCTCCATACTAATGAAAGTTTCTTCAACTACTGCTAATGAGTGTCCAATTATAAGTAATAGGTCTTGTACAATTAAATAGCAGGACTTTATTTACAATTTGAAAACAGATTTGGGAATCAGCATATTTTCTGTGTACCTCAAATCAGGCATCATATAAAAGTTTGACGCATTTTTAGAACAAAATTTGAGATTTTTCACTTTCTGCACTTTCACAGAAGAATGATCTTATTTAAGCAGCTGGCATATCAACATATACTTAAAATTTTGCACATTTAGGAAGAAAACATTAATGACTTCATTTTCTTGCATCTGACTATTACACAATTTTCTAACAATAATCAATTGTTCTAAGACTTAGTATGTATTAATTAACATTTGCAGCTTGTGTCAAAACTGCAGTGAGGTTTGACAGACTTGCATTTGTCCTAACTGCTCCTCTGTCAAAATGAGTCCGACTTGCTCTATATCCAGCTTTTTGTAAAAACTGAATCACTGTATCAACTCGTAACAATTGCGGTCCTTTAGGACTGTGACGATGCAAGTTGAAGTAAAATGGTGGTGCTGGATCCTTATTAGATTCCAAAGAAATCAGAGGATTAATAAGTTCATTTTCAACAGTGTATGTTGAAAGCAAATTTCCTGACTTGACAGTTTCCTTATCATCATCATCTGCTTTTAATCGCTTTGCCTGATTTTCATTGTCGCTTTCATTTCCATACTTATCAATAAAGTTCTCTTCTTCATGTGGAAATTTGTTTTCATCCTTACAGCTGCATCTACAACAGAAAATGGAAAATAATTTGCTATGTGTACAAGTAATGAACTACTTCACCACCGAGATAATGCTACAGCACACACATCTAATTATTCCATTCAGGCAGCCTGTGGCTTGCACGTTCTCCAGACTTAAAATCTCTGTAATTTTTATCTGTGAGGAAAACTACAAAACAAAGTATATTTAAATAATCCCTACATATTGCATGAACTTAAGCACAACATCTCTGAAATTATTATGTCTATAGAGGTCAGTGAACAAAAACTAGTGTCACGTCTTTTCAAGCAGCTTGAAGTACTTTTAACAGCAATAGGGTGACATTTTGAGCATTCAGTATGATGGTGAATTTTTCTAAGAAATATATTTATTTTGAGAAATGAATATCTGTGCTTACAATGCACAGCAGATTCGCTGTGACTGTGAGTCAGTGGATAATAAGCCAATGGTAAGAGATAATCTCTCCACACAGAAACCACTTAACAACATAATTAGTCTAACAGCATGGAAAAAGCTACAAGCCAATGGAGCACACATAACACTAGTACTAAGATCACATCAACATCATTACGAATTGCACAAATAACATGCATTATACCCAAGCCTCAAAGGGAATGGTGCGCAAATAAATCCAACAACAAGAAACACCCTCAAGAAAATATTGTGACATGTTGCGCTAAGGAGAATCACCCCCCACCAGCAGTNCGAGTTCTACTGTAGCAGTCGGCGACTTCAGTTGTACAGCCGCCGAGTTATAACGTGGCCATCGCCGAAGATAGTTCCGAGCAAGCTTACGAGAGCGTGTTATCAACAGTTCTCCAGTCAGCGGACTATAGTTGGAGTATAGCAGCCGTCGCGGTAAGAAGATCCGGACGTGTGTGTGATTGTGTAATTGGGAGCGTGTGATACAGTGATACATAGCTCCCCTACCGTAAACGTGTAGACTACTGAACACAGAGTGAACTGATTTGCGCATAGGGTTATAAATCGTGAAACCCCGCAACAGTGTCGACAGATTAATGCGATTAGGGTTATAAAGTGTGAAACCCCGCAACTGTGTGATAATTAATTGTAGCCGTTATTTGTAGATTGTTAAATAAACCAGTCAACGATCTCTACGGTGTCTTCAGTAACGTAAACGCGTTACAGTGGTGTCAGAAGTGGGATCAGTAACGCAAAACGCGTTACAGTGGTGTCAGAAGTGGGATCAGTAACGCAAAACACGTTACAATATCTTTTAAATGTGATAAAAATGAAAAACAAAACAAAACAAAACATTAAGATGTTAACTAATTAGTTTTAATTCCAAGGTTACTTTATTTTAATCAGGAAATATGGCGTTCACACAGGGTACATAATTTTGACATACAGTGCAACAATTTTAGCAAGATAGAAGACACCTGATGATGGTGGTATGTGACCGGAACACGTACTAAGGAAGAAGGGTGACTAGATGATAGTGTAACCGTCCCCTTTCTATCTTTGTATTTATTTGCCAGCTTCGGTAAATCACTTGACGCTTATCGGGATCGTGTTACGGTAATAACTGAGGCAACAGGAAAACTGCACATTTAAAGCCAGTCCACTGCTAGAAATCAATGACGCTATTTGTGCTCTACACAAACTGTTTATTCAGAAGCGAAATACTATAACATCATTAGCAAGTACAGAGTAATGTGCCCTTTTATTACTATCAAAGATTAATAAACCAAATAAAGACTGATAAATTTAGATAAACTTGGAGAGTGCAGCCCAATGACGTCTGCCTCCGACGAATTCAAAATGCTAAGACCTTCTGCAAACTCTATCCTGCAGGAGCATCGCTTCATCCCCTGTATAGGATTTGAATCGATGGCCTCTCTCCCAGACAATAATAGTTACTTATCGGCTGATTTTAACTGGACAAATCCATCATGCAATCAGCACTAGACAATCACATAACGAACTTTGAGACTAAAGAGATCCAAAGATATAGAACCTGGTACCCCACATGTGAAAGCGGTTATTTCTTAGTTTAAGGTCCAATTACACCCTTCCGAAGACACTTTTGTAACAGCTACACTATCAGCAAAACAAAATTTACATCTTTGGCAAACTACAGACTTGCCTCATGTGGTGGCCTCGTCCCTTTTCCGGTCACCCAAGCTGCAGGTAACAAAACAAGGCAGTTGTTTCTGTCCAGATGCGAAAAGCAAGTCATAACATGCTAATGAATTGGTCTCCCCAATAAATCAGTCACTCTACTGAAATGGCTAAAGAGGACCATAGTGTCCCTTGAGGAGTTGTAAAAGGTTTGGACTGTCACAATCTCCCCAGGAGTAATTTTGGCAATTTTGATTCAATGAATTGACCAACATTACTGCTTACTTGCCTTTGAAGTCCAAACAACAAAGTAAATAATACAAAAATACAACACAGTTATTAAGAAATGGCAATTATTAACAAGAACATGTATATGCTTATTATACAAGGTAACACAGAATTTAAGTGACTTTTTTTTTTAAACTACTAATCCAACTTCAGTAGTTTACATATAACACATAACAGTCACACACATTTTTCATTCATACCTCCCTCAATATCACTCATCAGCTACTGAGGCATAGAAAATCATTTCATGTAGTAAAATTTTTATAAATACCTATTCATCACAGCTACTTAATTACAGAGCTTGGTTCTCAATAACTTCATATCAAATCAATTATTCAGTTTAGGCAATATCGCAACAATCAAACTAGCCGACTTCTACTCCCACAAAGTACGGTTTTAGAAGTTGTTTGTTAAACATTCCTCTCAGCTTTCCTTTAGAATCAGAGATTTCATATGCAGATGGTGGCACAATTTTTGTGATAATATAGGGCCCTTTGTATGGAAGCCTGAATTTGCCAGTCATGCCTGCAGCTGCATCAGATACGGGCTGGCATCTTACGAGCACTCGATCTTGAAGTTGTGGATCCCACTTGCTGTTGCCAATTCTTTTTCTTTTCATGTCGGCTGCCTTCTGCTTCATTCGGGCATAGGCGTGGAGGATCTTCTCCTCCAAACTCTCTACGGGTGGCATTTGATCCTGTGTCTTACGAAGAATTTGCCTGAATATATCTGGTCTTGTTTCATTGAAAATAAGTTCAACTGGAGAATAGCCAGTCGTTCCACTCACCGAGGAGTTCAGCCATTTCTCAACAAGTGGAATCAGCTCTGGCCATTTCTTGTGGGTCATATTGCAATAAATTTTGCAGTACTTACTCAATTCGCGCATTATCCTTTCCGTTGGATTGCTCTGTGGGTGTCTAATGGGTGAATATTTTACGGCAATATTTAGATCGGAAAGGGATTTCCTCCAGGTTGGGTTCGAAAATTGTGATCCATTGTCACTCAATATGGACTAGGGTACGATAACATTAAGGAAATAATGTGACTTCAACTTACTCAAGCAACTTTTAGTCGTTGCTTATTTAAGTGGACACAGCTTAACATGCTTTGAAAATACATCAAGACATACTAAAATGTACTTAACTCCACCACGTCCAGCAGGTAAAGGACCATAGAGATCTAATAACATGACCTCTCCCGGTTTAGTTGGTAGGTGGGACCTACTTTCAATCTCATAGCTCCGATTTGGGTGTTTCACGCGTTGACATGTATCGCAATGCGAGACCCACTTCCTCACCTTTCTACCCAGACTTCTCATGTAGAATGTGAGTGCAATCTCATGCATGCAACGGTTAGTCCCTTGATGCCCCGATGATGTGTGTACGTGAGCCGTGCTAAAGCAATGGCTCCTGCCGTGACGTAATGGCTTCCAGCCATATCTCTGATGCTACCCTTCACCCGAGGTCCTAGAACTTACCCCCTCCTCCTCTTCCCCAATACCACGTGATTTTCCCACCCTTTCTACCCCTGTGTCTTGGAAAGAAGTATGTTTGGGAGCAGAGGGTTAGTCTGTTAAGTGGATCCACTTTGGTAAGCACGTCTGCTGACCAGCCTGGGATATTTTCTGAATTTCAATTCAGAAGGGTGTTGTTTCAAAATTGCGTTTCGGCATACTCTGGGTCTGGCTGCAGACGTTGGGGTTATAGTCACCAGCTATCGGGGCGATGGCGTGGCGGCGATATGAGAGTTAGTTTTTTTGTATAAATATATATATATTATTTTCTTGAGGCCACCTGTGAGTGAGGTTTGCTTAGCCTGTATTATATAGACATGTAATTTTTTGATGCCGCCTGTGGCGGACCAGTTCAATTTAGTTATTCAATGTATTTGTTCTGATGCCGCATGTGACTAGGAAGGGACTTGTATTCAAATGCCACTGGGCAGGTTGTTGAGTTGATGCTGTGAGGTGCGGATTAATGTAGAGTGCAGACACTCAGCCAGGTTTATTCTATTTATATATGTATTTTTGTCATTACTTGTTTCTATGTTTATTAAACATTGTTATTGTTATTTTGTGGATATGTCATTGACTTCTACAATGATTTTCCACTGCGAGCTTGGTTTCCTGCGATGATCTTAGGGAGCGTTGTAAACATGACGCGAGGGCCAGAGACGATGAACCGCTCCCGACTTCACCGACGCTTGGTGGTGGTAGGGTGAAGACGGGAGAAGTATCGGTTCATACGAAACCTATAACCTTATTCTCCAGACTGTTAGGGAGATATATTCTCCAGTAGGGGTATGAACGACTGTCTTTACAATACAGCACGTCATCTTTAAGCATATATTTATTCTGGATTGAAGGCAACGCCGTCGCCAATTTCTGCTTAATTTCCTGAATTTTAGGATCGCTCCCTTTGTGTTTCGCTAGATCTTTCAAGTCTCCTTTCAGGTCAGAATCCAGGTTCAGGTTAATAGCCGATACCAAAACATCCTTTGGTCTTCCTATTCCATTTATCTGTTCCCGTGTCAGGCCTATCAGGTTCCTACTCAATGCGTCTGCCAAAAAATTGTCAGACCCCTTTGTGTGAATTATATCTAAATCATACTCATGGAGTTGCAATATCCATCGAG